GGGGACCCCTTTTGAAGGCACCTCCGGACCAGGGAGGCTATGTGAGGGTGCCTTTGGATCCTGCAGGGACCCCGTGTGAGAGTGCCTCTGGATTCCACAGGGAGCCCATGCAAGGAAGACACCCCTGAATCCCCCAGGGAGCCCGTACAAGGACACCCCTGGGTCCCTCAGGGAGGCCGTACGAGGAGGACACCCCTGGATCCCTCAGGGAGCCTGTGCAAGGACACCCCTGGATCCCCCAGGGAGCCCGTATAAGGAGGACACCCCTGGATCCCTCAGGGAGCCCTTCCAAACACAGCACGCATCCTATCAGAGAATATGGAGTGGGATTGGAAATAACACCCCTGGATCCCCCAGGGAGCCCGTATAAGGAGGACACCCCTGGATCCCCCAGGGAGCCCTTCCAAACACAGCACGCATCCTATCAGAGAATATGGAGTGGGATTGGAAATAACACCCACATTCAAGCCTTTCTGGGTGCCTCTCCCTGATCTATCTAGTCCAGGTGGCAGAGCTTACACTGCGGGGAGGTCAGTCTGGAAGAATGTCAGGAAGTGCCGTGTACGAGCTGGCACGGCCAGGAGTCAGAGTGCTGCCTGAAGAGGATTCTCTGGGAGGAATCTCAAAAGCCAACCGCCATCCAGGTCAACATGCAGACATCTAGGCTGGGGGAGCTTGTCAAAGGCTTTTTTGCTCTATCTGGACCCAATTTTTTTGTTTCCTTATTCACAAAGGGAAAAAGATAAGTGCCTATTTGAATTTGCTAATGTTGCCATTTCCTTTATTTGTACCAGGGCTTCTAATGTGGGCTTTGTAAAAGTCTGCAAGGCTGAAAGCAGGATACATTTCTAATGGAAACATGCCTGCACGTGATTGTACGACAGCAAGGGGAGAAATTACTGTGATTTTGGACCCCCTGCAGCTACAGGCTCCATCAGACCTCAGGAATGTTGCTTTCATTTATAGAAACTACACAAATACTGGTTTGTGAAGAAGACAAACACTGAGTGAAAACTATTCGAGTGCATAAAAAGGTATGCAACACACACACACACACACACACACACACACACACCTCTCACTCTATCTGCAGGCCTGTGTGAAAACTATTCAAGATTAGTACACACACACACACACACACGCACACTCTCTCTCTCTGCAGGCCTGACATTGTACCAGGAAAACCAAGTTGTAATAAAGCTTCCTTGGTCCTGGAACCTGGGAACTTGGTGATGCCCAGCTTTAGATAATTAATTCAACGGAAGAAAACAGCTTTCTGATTTTTTTCTGAGTTTTTCTTGTTGTCGTGTACTATTGAATCAAATCCAACTGGCACCGGAGGAGACTGCCCCTCCTACTGGAGCAGAGCATGTGGTGGATTCGAACTCTGTGCCCTTTGTACTGTAGTGCAGCTTCTTGCCTTCTAGGCCACCAGAGCTCTCTGGTGCAGTTTTTATGTGTCCAGATCAGCAACCTCTTAGCTGTGACAAGATTTTAGCTGGACTCTCACACCTCTCTGGTATAGCTCTATTTATTCTTTTTCATCTTATAGAGGTGACTACCCACATCATTAGGATGTGCACAACTTCACTTCTCTAGCTCTGTTGAAAGGACTACCGACCACGGGTGCTGCGGGGCTGTGGGGACACACAGCAGCAGCCCTCACCCAAAAGGCTCACAGTCCGCGTGGAAGACAACCACCCCGCCATGAACTCTATTCTGTTCACGAGGCTGTGGAAGCCCAGGGGCAGCAGGATGAAATTATCCAAGTGCTGCCAACTTTGCTTCTCAAAGATCTCAATTATCTGCCTACCTGAGAACACCACCTGTAATGCGAGATCTATATTTGGACCAGGAGGCAGTTGTTAGAACAGAGCAAGGAAGCACTGCATGGTTCAAAATTGGGAAGGGTGTACGCCAGGGCTGTATCCGGTCTCCATGCCTTTTCAGTCTATGTGCAGATCATCCAGGAGGCAGGGTTATATGAGAAGTGTGGCATCAGGACTGGAGGAAGACTCATCAACAACCTGCATTATGCAGATGACTGAGGAGGACCCGAAGCGCTTGCTGCAGCCTTCATATGGATTAAAGCTCAACATCAAGAAAACAAAAGAATCTCACCACTGGGCCAACTGGCAGCATGATGACAGAAGAGGTTGAAACTGTAAAAAGGTTTAGTTAGCTTGGCTCCATAATCAACACTCACCAGCAACCAGGAAATCAAGGTAAACTGCATTGGGAAAGTCATCTGTGAGGGACCTCTCCAGAGTACTGATGAGCAATGTCAGTCTCGAAAACTATGGTGCACCTGATCCAGGCCATGGTCTCATAATTACTTGCTATGTGTCAGAAAGCTGGACAATGACTAGGGATGATAAAAGAATTAATGTCTTTGAGCTACAATGTTGGAGAAGAGTATTAAATATACTACAGACTGCTAGGAGAACGAAGAGGTTCATCCAAGAGAGGGTGAAATTAGGCTGCTCCTTGGAAGGAGGGATTCTGAAGCTTTGTCTGACCTACTTTGGACATGTTGCAAGGAGAAACCAGTCCTCGGAGAGGAGTATCATGCGTGGGAGGGAAGAGGGACAGCACAAGAGAGGAAGACTTTCAATGAGATGGACTGCCTCAGTGACTGGGGTAAGGCGATCAGTCTGTCAGAGATAAAGTTGGCTCAGGATAGAGCAGCCTTCAGAACTATTGTACACAGGGTCACTGTGAGTCACAAGTGACTCACCGGCATACAACAAAAACCAAATCTGTAAAACATAAATTGCTGCAAGGGAGCTATGGTGGGCTAGTGGTAATGAGCCGCACAAACACACCAAAGACAAATTGTTGGGATCCACCAGCTGCTTCAAAGGAGAAAGATGGGAAATGTCTTCCTGTGCAATTTACGACCTCTGAAAACACTCTGGAGGGGCAGCTCACGGTTGGTTCTGACTAGTTAGTACACAGTAATAAAAATAAATGGTTGATGAGTTATTTAATTGAAAAATTTGACACTGTAGAGCATGAAATGGCTTGTATCAATCGTGTCTTTTAGGATAATGAAGAAGCTCATAGTATAGGTACTTATGGAACATTTTATTTAAAGCGCTTCACATTAAAATCATAGTTCAAATAAGTATATGAATGTACAATTATGTACAAAAACTAAATATGCATTTTAAAAGTTCACATTTCACTTTTTAGAATTACTGGTTTGCTTATAATTGAGTAGTGTATATATAGTGTTGTTATAGTTTTACAGGTCCTTTACATCTTTCCAACAATTTGGCTTAAGATACTGAGAAACCATCTATAGTCCTAAAATATACAATGAGATATTTACACTCAAGAGGGGAAGCCAATGCAGTGCTCCCGGCATCTGACATCTATTAACACGCGGACGATATTCAGCAGCCTCAGCTTGCTGTTTCCAATGCCCACTGAGGGGTTTTTCTTGATTCCTTCTGCACTACATCCACGCTGCAGCCCATCCTGAAGTGACTGCCCATGAGTCACTTCATGCCAACGAGACTGGTTCTTCAAACAATGCCCGCTTTCCTCATTTTAGAGAACTATTTTTTGGGGGAGCCAGGGGTGGGGTGGGGCTTAGATCACCTAACTTGTTCACACAACTGCCAAAAAGTTAGTTTCAGTGGAATCATGAAGGACAGGTGCACAGATCTTGAACTCGGGAAGTGTCCAGAAAGAAGCTGAATTAAAGCCTTTCAGGATAGGGATAGGGATTTGTCAAAGCCCGTGCTCCTTCAGGTTTAACGACCAAAATATTTAGAGTTCGGCAGATGCTAAAATGACACTCCCTTCTGGCTCCCCTGTCTGAACTCGCCCTCTCACACCAGCTGTGGGTGCAGAAGAGCTGGCCCGACAGGCATAAAGTGACCAGCAGAGCAGCCAGTACCCACTTCCTCCCCTGATGACATCTGCTCCACTGGACTGACGTGGAGGTCAGGGGAACAAAGGCTGGTCACTGCATTCAAATGGAAAAGGAACACACAAACAGAGTTCTCAAGTAAAGAGCCCCGCCTCTTTTCTGGATTATTAGTAACTTCATCCTCAAGTGAAGGATGGACATTAACAATGCTGACAGATTTTAAGACTTATGTGGTAGTATACCGTCTTGAAGACTTGTCTTAGAAATTGGCAGGAAAGAATTCAACTACAGAAAACAACCAACCAATCAACCAACCACTTAAAATGTAGATCTTAAAAGGAATGAGTCAAGATGAGGATGATTTTTACCCATTAAAATGGAATCCAAAGCAAGACTCCCTCCTCTGCATACAAAATCAGTCGTACTCAGGGTGTGAATGTACTGTTAGCAAGCCTGAAGTAGAGTGTAGCTCATGCCAACAGAGAGGTGAAACTTCTGTTCCAACTTATGGTCAAAGCCATGACCAAGACCCAGTTGTCAGGGGTGCCCAGGCAGCCACTGTGGGGGCAGGGAAGCGGGCTGAGGGGCCATCAGCTTTTAAAGCAAGTGCTTCTCACTGGGAAGGGCTGGAGTTCACTTCATGACTCTCAGGATGCCTTTAAGCAGCCACAGGTTTACATCTGACAATTTTTCAAAACTATGTAAATATGTAAGGAATTGTTCTGTCTCTTCATTAGAAATCTCATCAACCCTTAAATTTTCCAGATAAACACTATCAGCAAGTAAGCCTATTAGTAAAGGAACAATATTTTTTTGGAAATTTTAACAGCGAAACAGAGTACAGGAACTGAGGGATCAACTGTGAGAACTCTGGAAGATATGGTTTCTGATGGCAGGGGCCGCAAAGAAAATGCTAGATTTATGCTGCATTCAGAAACAATACCTAAAAGCCATTGTGTACTTAGCTCGTCAATAAGATGCTATGTCAGATATTACAAATAAATAAAAGTATATAAGTAAATTAATTTTCCTTTATTTTTCCCTCTCAAATCCATTTAAAAAACAACATTGAAGACAGAAAATCACAAATATACATAAACCAAAGAAGTGCTTGCATATTTCACAAAGGGATTTCCTTGGACTCCTTCAGCTGCTTCACATAAAAATCAAAGCTTTCCTGTTAAGAAGAGGGAGGAAAAAGAGGAGAAAAGTTATGAGTAAGGACACCAGTAAGAAGTGATGGCTTGCAACTGAAAACCCCAAGACACTGCAAACAGGAGGGAAGCCTGCGGGCCGCTAGGTGACCCAAGTCTGCTCCCTGGGCACCTCTGCTGGCCCTGCAGGTGCTGGGCTAGCCCTGCCAACCGGGTGAAAGCCACTGAAACAAGCATGACACAGTGGCTTTCACTACAAAGGCAAGAAAAAAAGAATTCTGTATGTGCTTTCTTTTATTCCACAAAACCTCTCTGGTAAATAAAAGGAAAATTATTTGCTACGTAATGAAATAATGAACAGTGACCTACATGTTTGTCTTCTTAGAGGCAACGATGGTGAAATTTCATCTCACATACTTTGGGGATGTTGTCGGGAGACTAGTCTTTGGAAAACAGACCTCACGCTGACAAAGGTGGAAGGTCATAGGAAGACCTTCAACAAGATGGACGGACAATGGGCGACAGTACCAGAGAGGAGAAGGACAGTGCAGGAGAGGGTGACCTTCAGATCTGTCATGGGGGTGGGTGGGGGTGTGTGGCTATGAGCAATAGTATCGAATCCTGAGGGGTTTAACAACAATATATACTTAGCTATGCAAATACAAGCTATTACATTCTAGCTAAAGTTGAAACAATGAGAGAACACACCCGATAACTTCCTACAGGTCAAAGTTTTTGTGGACCCTGAACTTTAAAACCAAATCCCAGAAGGCAAAGCTCCTCAAACTGGAGCCTGAGAGCTGACTGCCCAGCAGCTGGAAGCCTCCATCACATGAAGCACAGGAAGCACACACAAATCGGTCATTATCTCCTTAATTAAGAATACTCACAGGTGGTTCTGGAAAAGGGACAGACTCCCCAGCATTCTTCAGCAACACTGCGTAACGCTTTAGAAACAAACCATTCAGTTTTATGTTCTTTGCAGTGAGATGTTCATACAGCGCTTTAGCAGAGGCGACATCATTGTCCTGGGCTGAAGAAAACGATAGTAATCAGACAAAGGCAACCTCTGTCCCCCCAAACACAGTTCTCTGGGACTCTTGGATATCTTCACCCCAAAGCAAATCAATGTGGCAAGAAGCCACATTTTAAATTCAGGGCCCCCCGACCACGCCTGGCTCTCAGACAGCGAGGAGGAGAATGAGACCATGATAGCTACACTGTCATAGACAGAAGCCCTTGACCAGAGTGAGGAGACCTCATTAGAACACCCTCTGCTTAAAACTATACCGTGAATCAAATCAATCCAGGGATTGTGGTATGTGGGCACGCAAACTCTGTGGAAGTCTCGATAGTCAATATAGAGACCACAAAGCCAAAAAGACTGCACTTTCAATACAATCTCGTATTACAAAATAAATGCTGAGTAATAAAGTTAGCTATAGTGGCAGAAAGATCTATAGGAAACCTTAACAAATCACACACATTTCACTTGAATTATGTTTTTAAGTTTAGAGTCAAGATTATACAGCTCTGCAATCACTGTTCCAATTCGAGTGTTTAACACTGCATTGGAGCTCTAACATCCAAGCACCCCACGAACTCACTCTTGGGCCCAGCAGCTGCACAGCAAGCATTCAGATCAATCCCAAAGGGAATAAGGAACACTGACTCACAGGCTTAATGGAGTGAGGACAGGTACCTGAAGTTCGATGTGAGTTATTTCTGCTTTATTGTAAGTCCTTTATTCCCTTCAGACCCAAATCATGTCTCTAGTGGTCAAGGGCTCACTTAAAAACTTACCACCCCCAAGAACCTGTTCACAAAAGCCTTCCTGACCCCCCAATTCCTGTATGGGATTATGCAGTTTGGTAGTGAGATACACACACACTCCTCCTTTACTGCTGTCCTGCTGATCTGACTCAGCAATCCTAAAGGACAGAGTAGAATTGTCCCATAGCATTTCTGAGGTGAGATCTTCAGAGAAGCAGACAGAATTCTTTCCTTCTCAGAGTGGCTTATGGATTCAAACCAGTAAGCATCTGATGGGCAGCCCAGTGCTCACACCACTCTGCCACAGCGGCTCCTCAGTGACATACAATTTTATGGGTTTTTTTGACACCACTACCCTAGTACTTCATGTGAGCAAAACCATAGGTGGCTACGTGACCACTCGTTTTGATGACTCAGGAAACGTTCTATTAACTTCTTTTCACACATGACTGGCTGGTGTTTAAAAAGACTGGGATTATACATTTCAACTGGGAATAACCACAGGGCCCAGTTAGGCAGATGGGGAAGGAGCAAGGCGCAACCAGGGCCAGTGTCCCGAGTGGGTCCTCCACACAGAGGCCCAGGGAGTTACCTCCACGGCTTTCCACTCACCCAGGGTCTGACTCACACATGCCTGGGCCCCTCTCACGGTCACACTGCTTCCTTTTTTATTATTAAAAAAGTATGAGAATAATGTTGCATTTTCCTTAAGCATATGTTAAAAACATTCCACAGCTAAGTAAGTGATTTATAGCCTAATCAATTAACTGATAATTAAGATAACTAACTGCTGCCTTTGAGCCAAAGACTTAGGTGACTTTATCACCAATATTTAAATCACTTAAATAATATGGTCAGATTAAATGAATTACCATAGATTTTCATGATGGGAGAATACGCATTTTCCTCTTCAATTAACCCAGGAATCAGTTCTAACAAAGATTTTATAGTTGGTGCCTAGGAAATTAAACAAAGCTAGCATTATCACAAACTCCAAGCAACACGGAAATAAAACACCTATGTAATGGTCCATTAGGAAATCCTAACAACAAATGCCAAAGGCCTGCCTACTTTGATGGACTGGCTCTCCTTTTCTGTAGCTTATCGTTTGATGCTGACTCAATAACTCACACCTACAATAATTTAGTATTTCTTGAAAGTTAATATAATTTACATTTAAAGCCCTATAATTTCACTAAACTGTTGATGTCAACTAGTGCCTACATCAAAAAGATTAGATTCCCAAAGGTAGAAGAGGTAATATTTGTAGGTTTTACATAAAAAAAAATTTTTTTTTCTTTAGAACCAAAATTTTTAGATGAAATGTGAACAATTCAGTAAACATTCTAATGTTTTCCCTGCATGGTATACAAATGGAAGGCTTTCAGGCCCTCACCAGAACCTTCCTGTTCATGCTCTCAGTGCTGTGTAAACAGCTCTGCTCTGATTTCTGGTCGTGATTACACAATGGCAGTCCCCTCAATGAAGAAGAAGATCATTCCCCCGTACACGTCAACATTGATGGAAGACTCAATGATGGATTTTATATACATTTCCAACCTCTTCTCACTTAAAGAAATAAATTCTGGCCTGCTCATTGTATTGCCAAACCACTGGGCACCGCAGAGACATCCTTTAAAAAATGTTTCAGTATGTTTTTATTGTCATTTTCAGTATGTTTTTATTGTCAATCTCAAGCTGGGTTTGCATTTCTCTGGGAACTTCTGCATTTTGAAGTCTCCTGGGAGGAAAGCTCTAAGAAGACAGGTTTAATCACTGCACATTTTGAGTCCTTTCATGAACTGAACAGCAAGAATGTGGGTGGCCCAGTCCCAGATGTGGACCAAGAAGTGAGTTTTGGATTTTTTTTAAATACAATTATATCATATTTTGAAAACAACTCTTTCTTTGATAGGGGAAAAAATAGTGGGGGGTAGGGAGCAGAAGGTGCCAACTAGCTATTTTCTAAAGGCTGGTTGCTGTAAACATTTGAGTCAGAGATAGAAGGTGTAATTAGGTAAACTTAAAAACAGTAAAAAAGTATGTGTGTGTGTAATGTATGAATGCACGGCAATTAAGGTAAGCTTGAACAATCAGATTAGAAATTAGCTGCTTTATAATAAAGAAATATCAGAACAGACACTCAGTAGAAAACATTACAATGTGCCTAAATAAAGAATGGGATTTCCTGGTGTTCAACAGCTCAATGAGATATATAAGTATTCTGAAATATGGTTTCATTCATTTTTTAAAACATAAAATACATGCTACTCTTATAAATAACCATCAATGGACATAAGGTTATATATGCAAATTGAGAGCTTAAACCTGCGGCACCCTCCATTCCCATCTTAAAGGTAAATGGCTCACTGGCCTGATGGCCTATCTGTGATAAAGGGTCAAAAGCAGACACTTGACGGGAGACACGTGGTTGTGGGGACTCTCAGACACGCCAGTGACCCAACAGCACAAGTTTATCTTCCCTTTTCAGGGTGCACAATTCATGGCATAAATTCCTTTACATTTTGGTCCGAGTAAGGAGCCACAGCAAACTCTATCAACTTCTTAACAAAGTGTAAACAAGTGGAATCTTCAAGCCCTTTAGTGTGATGTTGTAGCTATGGCCTTGAAGCAGTAAGCTCCTACATTAAACCCACTGACTTCCAACGAGATTTTGTAGCACCAACAAGTTAGTAGCAAGTAAACACAGTACCTTTCCTGGTGTCCAAGAGCTCCTAAAACAGAAGACCGACAGAATTGAAGTTTGTTCAGCAATCGCACCACATCTCTAAAAATGAAAACATGAGTCAGCAAGTGAAGGTTTCTAATAAACAAGCAGACCAAGGTGAACATTTTCAATTAGCAGAGTTCACAATAATACAGTAATGTATCATTATCAATAGGAAGGCCTAATAGCCAACCATTTTTTAAAGCCAGAAAAAAAGAAAACAAGTTCAAGCTTATGCCAAGCTTTGTGAATGCTGTCTTTGGCGTTGCAAGGATAAAGTTTGTTTAAAAGAAAAATTAAGCTGATACTTCACAACCACAGAATAAGGTTTAGGGCTGCAAAGAAAGAGGAAAAAAAGAAACACCATTCCTCTCCAATTATACTGCCAAGCATTCACAAGTGAGCTAGGGATCATAAGGTTAATTATACATTTAATAAGGTGTCAGGGAGATAACTGCTCGTTTCTTTATAAAAATTAAAATGTACAAAGCAAGTTCTCTTTAAAGTATAATTACCTACACTTATGCATACAAAAGGACTGATTTCAATCTCTCTATTTTATAAAAGGCTTTCATTGCAACAGACAGCCAGTGCTTGAGAAAGAGACAAAAGTTAAACTATGAAAAAAAAAGTTTATATGACAGACCAGATAAATCAAGTGTCTATCCCATCTTAGATGCTATAGTAAAATCAAATATGGCAAGACAATATTTTAGTTTACATTCATCATACATGTCATTCTCATAAGTTTCAACATTGCTCTTTCAAAGCTTTAAAACACTGTCAATACTAAAATGAATAGCATAAAAAGAACTTTTGGGGACACACTGAAGATTTACATTATAAACTGATGCTCTTGACATCTATGAATAAAGTATTCTTCACTACAAGAAGAAAAACATTTTACTGTTTGACAAGCGGATAGGGTATGGGCATGGGTTTATCATCTGTAGGCTCTGTCTCGCTGATGGATGCGAAGGCAGAGAACACCGTGTCCTTCAACAGTCAGCTGTCATCAGAAGTCTGAGATGAGGTCATGGTCAGCAAAGGAAGCACTGAGGGCTATGCTACCCCATTTCAGCTAGCTGCCACCCCAGGCTCTCGCCAACTGAGAATGATGGATCAGAACAAACTGATGGATAAACATCAAGAGGCGCGTTCTATCAAAATACCAGACCCAAACAGAACTGAGTTCTAGTCTATGTATCTATATGCTTATACTACTCATGTTATTGTTATGTAGCACAGAGTTAGAACCAACCCATAGCTGACCCGCCAACGGGTCTTCAGAGGCAGGAAATCTCACAGAGCAGCTGACAGATTCGAAATGTGTACCTCTGTGTTAACTGGACACTTCCTTACCACTCACCTGCCAGAGCTCCCCTACTGCTGATACCCAGCTGGAAAAAAGCAGCTGTTGAGTCAATTCTGTATTAACTAGAAATCAATTCTGAAGTGGTTTATCTTTTAGGGAAAACACTGCCCATCTTTCTCCCAGGTCAGCAGCACAATCTATAACACCACTGCACCACCAGAGCTCCTTCTATACTAACAAGTACTCACACAGGGAGCTATGACCTAGTGGTAATGTGCTGTGCTGCCCATCCGAAGGCAAGCAGTTCAAATCCAACGGGATGAAGATGGGCAATCTCCTCCCATGCTATTGATGCTACTGAGAACCTGCTGGAGGGTCAGCTATAAATTGGAACTAACACCACGAGAGTGACTTTTTGATCATCTGTACACATGACAATAAGGTGTTAAGAGTACTTTCCATTCAAAGGCATAACTTTGAAAAGGCAGCAAGATAAATAATTCAAAGATTCTTCCCTCCACCCCTTAAATTTTATTATTTTGTATGTGTGAGCTGTCAAATCGGATCTGACTGGTACAGGAGGAGATTGCCCCTCCTTCTCCAGCAGAGCACCTGGTGGATTCGAACTGTGTACCTCTGGGATTGCAATGCAGTTTCTTGCCACTAAGCCACCAGAGCTCCTCAAAGATTCTTAAAATCGTTATCATAACTGTTCTTGTCCCCTTTTATTTTAAAAAAGCTAGTCAAAAGGTAAAGTAAAACAAACTAGGGAATGTTCCAATTAACTGGAATTTCTTTCTATTTATGAATAAAAAGTAAAAAGCCTTACAAGCAGGAATAATGTCCACTTTTCACAAAAGTGCTAACACTGAGAAAATTCTCAGCAATTCTCTTTTTAATAATCTAAAATTTATTGTTTTAGGAGATGAAGTTTATGGATCAAAGCTAGAGCTTGAGGAAATGGGTAGGGTGGTACCTTCCCGAACTACTCCTTACATATCTCACAGCTGGTAAAAATGTAAGTGAATATTATACTATTTACTCCCAGAGATTGGTCCCAGGCCTCAATCTGACACGGGGAGTCTACACACACACAGCCGCTGGCGGGATCACGAGGACGATTTGACTGCCACCTGCTGGGAAGGGGCTCCCCGGCGGTGCCTGTTTGTGTACACTGCCAGTGGCAGCTCCGATCACCCACCGCTCTGTCGGCACTTGGCGCAGCTTTATATTTAGTGCCGTTAAAATGCCATGAATGCAGTTGTCTCCTTCCCTGAAGATTGCTAATTTAACTGAAAGTGCAGGCCACAGAGACCTGCATTTGTCATTTAATGTGTCTGTGACACAGAAGTGAATAGAAAGCAAATTCAACTCTTAATAAACCTTGAATAAGGCACTGAGAATGTTTGAGTATTCAAGTGAGAAGCTGTTCTTGAAAGCAAACATTTCCTACTTTTTGTTTGCAAACTGTGTTGCCATGGTGACGCACAGTATTTAGAGCATTAGAGAAATTAAAGTAGGAAATCAAAGGAATTGTTTTGCATTACCTATCTGCACAGAAACATTTGTCTTTAATCACGTCAGTGAAGCAGACCCTCTACCCCCTAAACATAAGGACTGTTCTAGATAGATTTAAAAAATAAAAACCAGCACCCCACGAGCTACACATATCAGTCCTTGTCATATGACCTTTATTCCAATGAACTAAAACACACTAGCAGCAGCACACTTCATTTCCAGGACTCTGTCCCTCACCTGTGCCTAACAATGTCCCAGCTGACCCTCACCAGCTATCAGCCCCAAAGCACCATTGCTAACTGGTCATACCTGCAGGAGGGCTCTGGCATCATTCACCCTGCCTGTATCCAAAAGCTGAAGGAAAAGATCAGTGACAGGTTTGTAAATGCCAAACTGATTGGCTAATCTCTCTGCCATGATGCTTACTGGAAGAAAAAAAAAAGACAGTTTAAGAAAAATCTTTTATTAAAATAGTTCATAATTCACTCAACCAAAGAAATCTGGTGGCAGTCTCACTGGAGAGAAGATATGCTCCTGGGATCTTTCACAAAAGCACGGAACTTACTCTTTTCAACTGCTGTCTCCAGCTGCTCCTCAATCACTTTTCTGTATAAGTACGCCAAGCCAAAGTGCTGGTGATCCAGGGCTGGATTCTCAGAAGTCAGCATACTTTCAATGCTTTCTACTGCGACATCTACGTTATTGCTGTCAATGAAAGCAAAATAAATTAAGAAATACATGCTTTAGTATGAATACTGCAGCTTAGGTATGAGAATTTACTTTAGAACTTACTCATGAAAACACTAAGAAAAAAGGGAAATAAATTTATAGATAACTGATAATAAGCATAGAACCAGAACCCAATTGTGCTTAGGCAGAAATCACAAAACTGTTGATAAAGGTAATTATTTACTTTCAAACACTGCTCTGAAAAATAGGCAAGATCAAACAATTTTATCTATCTATAAGAATTAAGGGAGAGTTTAAGAAAATATTCTACTTAAATCTCACTTTCTAATTCACACTTGGTCACTACTGCAAAGTGAAAATGATGTCAGTTATCTTCTGAGTCTTAAAAATGCTGACGGTGTCACTAAAAAGTTTATTTACGTCTCTAACCCACAGGTTCATCAATTTTTTTCCATGCATTACACTTTTGAATGCTCAAAAAAAACCCCCAGGTATCATTCACATTTTACAGAGTCAATTACCTTTCCTTCTTAACAAGTTTTTTAAAAAAATTATGCTGACCATCTTTTTTTGGTTAATGGAATCTTTAACTGATGCTTGACAGTATGATATGGAACTCCAAAGTGAAATCATCAACTTTATGTTAAAATTATTACACTCAAGAATTCCCTAACAAGGAATAGCGAGTGATAATAAATCCACTTTTGGATTTTTCTTTTTCCTTCACTTCCCCAAAACTAGAACCAAAAATTCTTCAAAAGAATTTATATGTACATTACAGGGGAGCTCTGGTGGCCTAGGGGTAAGGAGCTGTGCTGCCAAACCAAAGGCAAGCAGATTGAGTCTACCAGCTGCTCCATGAGAGGATGGGCAATTCCCTCATGTGTGATTTACAGCCTCTGAAAACCCAGTGGGGAGGGTCAGCTATGAGGTGGTACAGAACAACTCTGTATCACATTAAATGCATTTGAGATTAAAGAATATTATTTTCTAAAGGTATGAAAGATGTCAGTGTGTGTGTGTGTGTTTGTGTGTGTGCACGCACACGTGCACTGTTAAACTGGATCTGACTGGCACAGGAGGAGATTGCCGCTCCTTTTCCAGAGGAACATCTGGTGGATTTGAACCATGCACCTTCAGGACTGCAGCGTGACTTCTTGCCACTAGGCCACCAGAACTCCCTGAAAGATGTCAATTTTATGATTATGTCCTTGAATCTATAATTTAACCATGTGGTGGCTTAGCGGTAAGGAACTGTGCTGCCAATGCAAAGGTATGTGGTTCGACTCTTACCAGCTGCTCCATGGGAGTAAAATGGGCAATCTCCACCCATGTGATTTACCGCTTCAGAAAAGCTTCCAGAGAGGGTCCGTTCCAATTTAACGGTACACAACAACCACCACAAAATTTTTTTTATTTGTTAAGACTGCAGACAGAATGTAATATATACTGAATCTCTGAATATTAATAATTGTAAAGTGTGTGGGATTTCTGAGAGATATTATGTGCGACATATATGTCCCAATGGACTCTGGTTATAGGATGGGGGAGTGAGGCAAGAAAAAAAATGTTCATTTGAAAATCACCTAATGCTAAACATGGGCCTTCCCAGCAACACAGAAAAAAACAATAAATGTATGTATCAACCTTATCTCTGTTTAGAAGCCTCTTACTCTTGAACTGCTTTCTATCTTACAACTGTTTAATTCCCAGTGCTACTACCAGTACATTTTATATACTGGGGGAAATGCTCCCCAGCAACCCTCCATGACAGAAAACATTCACATTAACAAATTTATTGGGAATAATGAAATATAATATTTATATGGAGGTCTAGTGGTAAGAAGCTGCACTGCAATTCCAAAGCCATGCAGTTCGAATCCACCAGCTGCTTTGTGGGAGAAGGATTGGCAATCTCCTCCCATGCAATTAACTACCTCTGAAAATCCAGGGGGTCAGCTACGGGGTTACAAAGAGTTAATAATAAGCAAAGTACTGTGCTGGTGAGGTTAAGATGAAGCAAGCTTGTACTGAATTCCAAGGGTAGTTCTCAACAAGGGATTGGGAGATGGTGGTGAAACCCCTGTAAATACCCCTCTTGTTGTAAGGGTGCTGACAGGTTGGGCTAGGGAAGGAGAGTGGGAAGTATAGATAGTCATAATATTAAATAATCTTGCTAGGTCCTCTATTTCACAATATTCCAGTAGAGGCTCACTCACAAGTATTGCTAAGAAACAAATGAGCTCATTTCTCATTTTTGTCACTTTTTGAATAAGCCGTGGCCTACTACATGTAATTTGCCTAACCTATGTAACTTAATGTTGAATGAGAAAAGCTAGCAACTGTTAAGTACTGTGCATGAATCTGGTAAACTTATCCTGAGATCTAATGTAAGGTTACATTACAGCTGACAAGAGTTTCTAATAGCCTAAAGAATTTAAAAGTCTTCTGGGAGATAAAGCTCCTTCTAATAACCAATGAAGAAAAAAGGAATTCTTAAGCATACTCACTTTTTTATTTGTGCCAAGGCAATGTTATTGATGAAAACCATACGTGAAAGTCCAACTGAATTTTCAAGTCCATTTACCATCTTCTGAATTGCCTGTATGCTTTCGACATCACCCTTCAAGGCAAATGCCTGAATAAGGCGGGTCACTGCCATCCTAGAAGGCAACTGCTCCAGATCCAAGGTTCTCCTCAGTGTTGCCAGAGCGTCTAAAATACAGAGCAGGAGGCAGTGTTCTTACATGATGTGGTGACTATAATGCATTTGGAAAACTAGCTTTTAAATATAAGCATCAAATATGCCAAAAGATATGAATATTTTATGCTGGATTACAGAAAATACTAATATTTTATGAGAAGTTTAAAAAAAGGATTGTATTAGAGACAGATAAATTTATTCTAATATCACAGGTAAAATACAAATAGTAAAACTGGTCTATTCATAGATAAGAGAGAATAATATCAAGCATTTTGGTAAGTTTGGAAAAAAGAAGAATTAATAAACTAGTGTTTTTAAAAAATATATAGCTTCCAGCTATATTAATACTTTCTGATATTTTATTGATTCTTATGTTCCATGATGACCTGATTTTCAAAAACTTTCAAATACTATCTTCATGATTCATTCTTGGAAACAATGCATTTCCCTGGTCAAAAGAGGATTCGTTACATATGAGCCCTAACTGAACAGCAAACTCTCACATTAACAAATTTATTTTGTGCAGCAAAAATATCTTGTGGGTATTTTCTTGCATTCATTGTACAAAGAAATAAGGCTCCTCTGATTTTGTGATCTAGCCAAAGGAATTTTATTTTTTAAAAATATCATACTTAGAAATACATAATTATGGATAAATAGGAAATATCCTTAGGATAAATAGGAAATATCCTTACTAATTCACTCATGTAACAAACAAGGTAAACCCGTTACATTAAGAAAGTGGCAGACACCCCAAATAAATTTCAAACACTGTTTACTGAGCAGAAAAAAAAAAAAAAAAAGAAAGTGGCAGACTGAGGGGAAGCGGTAACCAAGTGCCTGCGGCACTACCAAGAACCCGTCATGGCTTTACAACCTTAAAGCCATGTAAATCCGGATAAAACCAAGAGGCTCAATGCAGTTTGCCAAATAAGAACAGTCCGTCTTCAGGGCTTAGAATAACCAAGAAAGGAGAACAATTAAACAGTCTCTTTAAAACAATACAGTAAAAGACAGAATTAATTCAGTGTGTCTTACTGAATAAGCATTTGATAAGTAGTTATTCCAAATCTGAACTTTGTTGTTATGTGCTGTCAAGTCACCTGCAACCCACAGCGACCCTATGTACAGCAGCTCTGAAGCCTGCCCTGTCCTGAGCCAGTCTCACTGACTCCTACACACCTATCCGCACAGACCCAGGTACTGGATCATTCCACCTCATCAAATACACAACATAGGTAGCATAAAAATCATACTTTAATAACAATCTATCTATCTGGTAAAAACTGTTATTAATAGAATTATCTTCTACAGAAAATAAGCTAATGTACAAATCATAATAAAAATCTTCCCACATTGTCTATGCAGCTAACTGGCTCTTGGCTTTCTTTACTATGAACATTATCAAGTAGGGAGTTCTTCCTCTCAAAGGATCAAAACGATGACAACAAAAGGAAGAAGATCACAGCATCAAGGTAACCAGCACTGACTGAGCCTTGCCCCTCTACTTACTACATGTCAGTCATAGTTGTAAGCAGCTATACTTCACAACAATCCCAAAGCAAATCTGACCATACAAACAAGAGAACTGAAGCACAGAAAGTTATTAAATAATCTGGCCAAGTGCTAGACATCAAAACTTCTCATAGCTGGTGTGGGTCCCTGCACAAGCGAGTGAGGGTACTCGACTTCTTCTCAAAGGCAGCCAAGAACACACCAGTGCAGGACACATTTCTGCATCACCTTAGGGACACGAAGGACAGTACCCACCTCTCTCTTCCCCTCTAGTACCATCCTCATGGTCCCTGAAATATCACATTTATTCAATTACTTACTGCTGATCTTGACTAAAAGGGGTAATTTATCAGCTATTAAAGTTATATATTAGTTTAATATTATTACTAATATTAATATTCTCATAGAATAACTTATAAAATTAAGATTTAATTAGTTTTGTCTTCTTATTTCAGCTGAGGTTGAGAAAAAGAAACTGGAAAGAGAGAAGAACAGGAAAGGATTTTAAAAGCATAAGGGCTCTGGTGAGTCAGGGAGAAAAGGAGGAAATTTGAGAGGGCTGTCTTGCCTCTCTGCACCAGTGGCTGGTGTGGCGAGGCCAGACCCTGCATGAGTGCTTGAGTAAGGGTGTGGGTGGGGGAGCCATAGGCGTGAAATGGGGGAGCCGTGGGCTCACTGCTCTGCTCTCTGGGAAGCACTGCTTAAGGTGACAGGCTAGAAAAGGAAGACGTACTTTTCCTAAGTTCTCACAGACCTCTAATAAACAGGGAACGATGGAAAAATAAGGGACAGCAGCCAAGTTAATTCAGATTCTAGTAAAAAAAAGAACCCTTTAAAATATTAATAAAATAAAAATTTGTTCATTTCCATGTCTACAGAAATACAAAGTATTAAAATGACCTTATTTATATGGATAGCAAGTTTAATTTTCAGTGCTTTTAATTATCACTTCTATATACAACAGCAACTTGATGAAAAGGTTTTTCTACTTCTAGAAATAAAACAAAAGCTTTAAGAGTTTTAAAAAGCCCTATAGCCACTCAATTTGTGAGGCTGTCCTCAAAAACTGTCCAGATGGTCTGGTTCTTGACTACGGAACATGCAAATTTTGCAAGGAAGAAATCACCACTTAAATATTTAGTCACAATGAAATCTGGGAGATAGCCAAAGGCCAGTGTAATTAAGTATCACATGTAACATAAAGCTATAGTCAGATGGCAAGCTTTTTCCCCCAGCAATGTGACAATATTTTATGCACATAAACTGCAGAGTAACACCATTACTATTGGCTGAAATTGGAAACAAAATCACATTTAAAAATGAAAGAACATTTTTTAACATTCTTACAAACCTCATAAGTGTGTGGCAAAACCTGCATTACTGTACTGACTAAAATTCAAATGTAAAACTTGTAACATGAAAAGATATTTCCTAAATTTATGGGAATCACAACTTTCTCCTGGGAACTCACTCAAAAGCCTGCAGATCTAAAGATATCCTAGTACAGACCTACACACAGTTTCTATCAGACTGATGGTCCCCAGCCCTCTCTTCCTCAAACTTGTTTCCACATTTTTCTAGTGTTACCCTCCTAACACCAATTTGAAAACTCTAACCCCAAACAAACATACTATTTTTACTGCTGTTGGTATTATGAACCATTAAAAAAGTATTAGATTAAGTTTTAAAAATCAATATTATAATCATTTGGTGCACAATCCCACACATTTAACACTCAATTTAACTCATTTGCTATCTCACACACAACCAACACGATATGCAAGAAACAACTGCTGGGAATTGTTTCAGATGCTCTAAAGTATGTTAATTTCCAAAGCAAAATGACTTGTGCTGTGAATTTTAACGCACTTGAAAGCCTGTACTTTCTCTCGTTCTGGAACACAAATTTTGCATGTCTGAAGAGCTGTGATTCATCTTAAGAAAACCCATCTTGTGTTAAATGGAATGGAAACTGGACTAAGTGGTCAAATGACAAGTACATTCATATTCAAGCTGTATTATAAATGCATGTACAGTAATTTACGTCTCTCAGCTACCACAAAAGGCTCTTGATAAGCAGGTAATTTGCTAAATGGACTCCTTTATCCAAGTATTCGAAGGGCGTTACAAGAAAAATCTGCAGAGGCATTAATGTGACGTAAAGGTCAAGCATTGTGACATACCTTTCAAATAATCCCGCCTAACTTGCGTTATGAGGAGGAGGCTGTTGGCAGCATCGTTCAGTGTGAAGCCCTTGATGTGGGTCTCAGCGCTAAAAGAAGCAGACATTTAGAAAGGAATTACTGACATGCTTCTGATACGATAATAAATGGTTGAGCACCAAGGTGAAATTATAAAAACTACTGTTCGTATGTTAAAAATATTGCTGCAAAATATCGACCTGGAGACAGCTTTTGTGTTACCCTGTCAATGGTTATAGAAGGATAATTTTTTTTTTGCATTCTGACAGATGACAAAGTTGGAAATGAGCAACAAAAGAAACAAAGTACAAGATTTTTTTTAAACAATCGGTTCAGATTCTTGAATGCTGACATATTAGATGACTAAAATAACTGCATGCCCTGCATTGTTCTGCTGTATCCTAAGCTAGATACTTTTCCCTCTTTTTTCTACATTCACCATAATTATAAAATGTAAAACTATTCTTTCAGCAACAAAAATGAACCTTTATTTTCAGCACTGTATATTTAAAATATAAACTAAAGCATATTATGAACTAACACCGTATCATTTGTCTGATTAATTTTCCAATTTCTGTCATCCAGATACATACAGTTTTTAAAGCTGAATGTAGTGAAGAACTAAAACCACCGCTACATTAAAATTAAAAATGAAATTCCACGGAATGATCTCATTCTAGCCAGTCTTATATCTGATATAAAACCCTCCAACTTCTTAAAACTCAAGAGCAAAACAGTTTTACTCACCACTAAAACCTATGGGATTAAAAAAAAAAACCAAACAACTATCTGGGGATGATTTCTGTTCTCTCTACTGTTGGCACACAGCTGATGGTGACCTTCCAGCCAACTAATGCCCCAGGGTTCATTTCTCAATTAGGAAACCTCCAAGGGTCAAAAAAGGGCCTAAGTAGTGGGTGCTGTTTGCCTTAGCGAGCTGAGTAAAGCTTCTGCTGCCAGCAAGCGCAACGCCCTGCAACATTTGCACACAACTGAGCAGATTGTGAGAAAAGCAGGGTCACTGCTACGTGATTCTCATCAATCCCAAGAAAATCCTCCAAAGACCCCAGGCCAGCCAGCCGCTCCTCCAGTCTCTCTCAGCCTCTCAGGCTCACCCCGTGGTCCCCGGGAGCAGGATTTCCTCGTTCTCAACCAATCCCCTTAATCCCACCAAAGCACTCATTGCTCAGTTTGACTTTTTCTTTTGTCCCATCTGTCAAAGCTCTTAAGTCAACAACTCAGGCATGAAACAAAGGATTTACTTTCTCAATCTTTAGCATGATTAAATAAATATTACATATTATTAAAGTCTCATTTCTCATGCCAATATTATTACTTGTATTATGGCAAATGCACTGAAAATATTACCTAAAATTCAGTAAAAGCAGGAGATAGGAAGAGTTCTCTTTTAACCAACATCAAATGTTAACTATAAACTTTCCGAAAGCTCAAAACCCACCATCTTTTTACATTATCCCTTCAAACTTAAGAAGCTGGCTATTCATTACAAATATTAAAGCAAAAAAAGACAGGAAGAAAACAGCTCCCCAGGTCTGCTGAGCATATATACGATAAGCACAAGCTGATCAACCAGTTACAAACAGTTTCCAAATTGGCAAAAGGGGGGTGGGCAGCTAGCAGAGATCTTGTGGGCAAAGAATGTAACAAAACCAATTTCTTTTTTATCTGTAATTCTAACTTTTCTATTTGGAAAGAATTTGTGCTGTCCGACAGGATAGCTATTGCTCACTTGACAGTTAGGCACTCTTGATAGTTCTTTTCATTTTACAAGTGTCAAAATGAAAAAGACAAAATTTTCTCAAGGAGAAAAGGACATCAACTGCTTAATAATCAATAGCAAAAATTTTCTCTTTTACAAAAAAGTCTTATAGAAAAAAGTCACATTAGACATTTCAGAGAAGTTACTGGTCACAGATTGAGCTTACATAACACACACAAAACACAGACCAGTAATTGTAATTTACATAACTTGGTGTAACAAAAATTGGCCAATCCAATAAAAACTATCAGTGACATAGCATTATGTCAAAGCAAAATGAAACAGGAAACCAGTAGGGACTACAGAAAAATGAAGAGCTACTTTCAAGGATAAAGCAGAGTTGGTGTTACAGGACTCTCAAATTTCCTTTGAATACTCAGTGTCTTCAGAGATAATAAATGAAGGATTATATCCTCTATTGCTCTTTGAATAAGCAACTCCTCTCTTTTGAAAGAATTCACTATTGGTAAATATGCATGAATTCTAACTAAAAATCAAGTTGGTTTCATTCAAAATTCTAAGAACTGCTGTCAATATTATTATTTTTTTTTTAAATTCCATTACTTGTTGAGAAGGTTAAATGACCTTGCTGACAAAACTTTAGATATCACATTAGGGGATTCAAGTGAACCTGAAATAATAAAGGAGGCATTTTAGTTCAAGTAACCTGCCAGAGTAATCCTGGGGTTCTCTGTTACTTGTTACTGAAGGTTAATTTGGACACATCATGTTACAAATAAATAATCTATAAAAGGAATAATTCTTTTAAAAATCTGACCATTGATGAAAGGGAAAGAGATGACCCAGCCTAATGTTGGTAACAAACTAGGAAATTGATCCAGAGAAGTTGTTGCATGACTTTTCACCAGTAACAACTAATTAGTTGGAGAATTTGAACTAGAACTTTCACTTTTGAATTCCTAGTCCACAGTGCCTTCAAAAACACTCATAGTAGATTTAACTCAAGATACAAGTCTACACAGGTAGAGGAGACAGGATTCTTTTGGTCTCGCCCACTCAACTACACGGCAAGTGGGCAAGAGAATAATTCTGGTGGGATTCGAGTAATACTAAAAGGGTCTTCAAGAGCGTAGAGAAGCTTCAGAGAGAGAGGAAAAGTTATATGCTACAGTATCCCAAGGGGGAAGGGAAGATGTGCTTATCATAATTTCCTGGATCATTAGCTTCAAACTGGTTTGATCAAGATTCACAGTGGATCCTGGATAAGTAGAGGGTCTTTCTCTCTTTTACAGACTCTGTATTTTACCAAGTATGATCTCCCTCTCCAAGTACTGGCCCCTTCTGACAACATGCTCAAAACATGTGAGACAAAGTTTCACCATCCTGCGCCCAAGGAGCACCCTGCTTGCACTTCTAAAACAGGTATAACTACTGACCTCCACACTAGATCAAATCAATCAGAACCACGGCAGAGGGAAGGAGATAATAATTTTGTGTAACTACAGTATAGGGATCACTGTTCTAAAATAAGTCCAATTAAAATGAAAAACTGTACTTTTTACCTTTGAAGATTATTTCAAAGGCCTCTGTAAGTTAGCTCAGGATCCAAAGTTATTTTTAAATATTTGCTTTTCTTTCTCTTACTTAAACATTTAATCAGGCTCAATTTTAAACACAAACTCTCTTCTTCCTCTCAAATAAGTACTAACTTAGAAAATAGAAATTATGAGTCTTTCTCATTACTGTGGAATCAGAGAAGATTTATACCTGACCCTTTACTGGGTCTCTGAGTTTATAAATCTAATAGATGGGACGTGAATGTCCAGAGGTGTGGCCTCTAGGTCCACAGTACAACTTCCTACAGATTAAATCACCAGAGCTTCCAAATTATGTGTAGTGTTAGATAAGAATTTTCTAAGCAGATTTTTCAAACTTTGATCTCAGTGGTCACAGGTGACCCTTGTTCAACATAATTCTCTAAATTACTAATTGCATTCCACTATCCATTGACAGTGGTTGATAATAATGTGGTTTGTGTTTTGCTATCATGTTTGAGCTCTGTCATAGAGGCTTCAGATAAAGGCAGAGTGCTCAATGGACAAATTTCAATGGAGCTTACAAGCTAAGACTAAGAAAGGTCTAGTGATTGATCTATGAGTGTAAATGAGCGAGTGAAAATCCTATGACTCACAACAGACTACTGTCTGATACAGTGATGAAAGCTGAGCAACCACACTTGGAAGGCACTCAAAACACAGTGGCTGCAGCAATGAACTTAAGCATATTAACAACTAGAAATATTTTGTTATGCTGCACACGAGCTCATTGACCTTACAGCAATGAGCAACACTACTTAACAAATGAGACTCAGCGCATCACCTGTCAGAGTGTAACTCTCTCACTTGTAAAACTGTGGCTCAAGGCCCACACAATCAGATACAACAAGCTTTTCAAGGGAGAGATGTTTATTCAGACTCAGCTGAGACACAAACAAGAAATACACAGTATGATGCATAACAATAGTAGAACACTGGGTTTTCCAGGTAGTTGAAAGAAAGGCAAGCATCTATGTTACATGCAGGATTCTAGCTAAGCAAAACCTTGGCAACTCTAGTGGGTCAACTCCACCAACCCACTCTGCAAGAAAAAGATGAGCATGTTCCTCCCATGTGATGTGCTGCTGCAGAAACCCGAGGAGCTGGAATTCGTTCCAGGCACTTGACACACATAGCCAAGGCTTCAAAACAGACCAGGCTTAAAGACTCAAACCTAACCAAAAGAGAATCTTGTAGAACTTAAAACAGACTAGAAACAGGTTAGTCTTTCCCACTGAACAAAGCTTCTGAACAAAGAGCCATTAACAGGACATGTCTGTGTTCCAAGTCAGATGACACTGCACTCCCTTTTCTAGACTTCTTTCTTTCTGATTAATAACTCAAGTTTTCCAGACAGCTCTTTGAGATTCAAACAATGGACAGAATCAAGCTAGTGGGCCTATCGAGAAAAAGACCTTGATCTATGTTATAATTAGTGAAGCATTTCAATAGGGAAGTAGCTAGAAAAGACAATCATCATCGTCATCACCCAAAAGACCAAAAAAGGGAAAGAAGAAAAAAATATCTGGAAACAAAACAAAAAAGCAAGAGAAGGTAAATCGTTACTAAAACATCTTTAACAGCTCTCTTTACTCGGCCTCACTGATCTCTTTTCATACCAAAAAGAAACCTTCCTTGAAGCAGTTATGTCGTCCTTCTAGATACTGACCATTGTCAACATCGATGGGGCAGGAAGGACAGGTCTGCTTGGAAGTGTGCCAGCAGACGGTGGCAAGGCCTGTTTGCCAGTATGTGACACACATGTATAAACTTAAACCCCAGGTGATGCCCTGGGCACGTGGCACAATGTGCAACAATGGCATGACCAACAGTTGCTCAGTATACACCCTGCCCTGCATCCATGCTCAGCACCCACCACAGATGCGGGCTGTAGTTTCTCCACTCTGTGGGGCTTCGGACTCAACAAGGACTTACTCCTAGGTCTGCTCTCAGAGTGCTGCAACCAACTGAGGTGTTATTTAGAAATATGAGTCAGAATGAACACACACAAACCTACCTATTGTCTCTGAGTTTATTTCAACTCAGCAGTTGCTCTACGGGACACAGAAGAACTGCCCTTCAGTGTTTCAAAAGTGGTAAATGTTTATCAAAGCAGCCTGTCACATCCTTCTCCTAAAGCCCCACTAGTGTGCTCAAACTACTGTTCTCTTGGTTAGCAGCAAGCACTCAGGTACAGGTCCCAGGGCTCCTCTTACAAACATACGTACAATAAATAATCGTGTTCACTCAACATCCAAATCACCTAATGTCTATCTCACAGAACAGATGGTAGACATGAAGGGACACATAGCTATAATATTAGCCACTCTATTAACCTGTTTCTCCCAAATAATAATAATAAACAATATGAAAAAAATTAATGCTGACTGGCATTTATAAAGATTAAATACCATGGACTGCTAAGAAAACAAACAGGTTCATTCTGGAGAGGGTTAAACCGGACTGCTCCTTGGAGACAAGGATTCTGAAGCTTCGTCTGACATACTTTGGACATGTTGTAAGGAGGGACCAGTTCTTAGAGAGGGACATCATGCTTGGGAGGGTGGAGGGACTGTGTAGGAGAGGAAGACCCTCGATGAGATGGATTGATTCAGTGACTGGGCTAATTGGGGTGGGTGTTTGAGACAGTGAGACTGGAAGAAGACAGAGCAGTGTTTAGGGCTGCTGTACACTCTGAGTTGCAGGCGACTTGATGGCACATAGCAACAACACATGGCATAAAAATTCAATAAAATGTACTGTGTTGGGCCAGGAAAAGTCATCCCTTTTAAAAAGATTAAAATTCCCCATGAAGTTTGGCAAGCATATCACCTGACTTATAGGAGCAGTTAATAACAATTAAGGATAACAATAGCGTGCTCTTTAGAAAAATGTTAGCAACTGCCAATGTTTTTTTACAGTGAGAGGTACAGTAAATGAACTATGGACACAATACTTACATATTTTTTACTTGCATTGCTTGTATTAAATTTTCCTTCAACAGCAGTAATTTGATAAGACTGATGTATGTTTCACTGTTAAACACAACTTTTTGGTTTTCTGCTCTCAGGAAAATATTATATGCATCTAGGAGGGGAAAAAGCAACAATAATTTGAAATGCAAAGAGATGGAGGGAAAAACTAAAACAAATTCCTAAAGTCACATGCTTTGCTGTTGTTTTTTTAAGAGACGTCAACCCCTTGGCAGTGCGAAGGGTGCCACTTGGGTTAAACAAGTAGATGTTGTCCTTCTCCCAAATTTTCAGAGACTTAATTCCAATGGATGGATGAGATTTTAAAAGGTTTCCTTTCAAAATTACTTTTCACACTAGCTTTCTTAGTTGATAAATTATTTTTATGTCAATAAAAATGAGAAACGAATCTTCTAAAATGGTTTGTCAAAAGATGACACCAGTTTTAAAAGAAACTGCAAAATTTATGTTAAAGTCCAAATAAGCCAGAGGTATAATCTGGACTGAAGGAAGCAAAAGATTCATTTTAAAGCAATCTTTAATCTATAAGTGGGTGGTTATGATGGTTAACATTTCAGCACAATAGCATTAAAGTGAATATAGCCTATAATTCTAAAATTAGGAGATCAAATTATTTGGCTACGACAGGACTTATACAAAAACATACAATTTTCAAATATACAGATACCTAACAAGTAAACTAAGCAACATTTGTTTGACTGATTAACAGTTTTATTTCACTCGTTCACAATAACTGTCAGTGAATGAAAAGATGTTACCAAAAGAAGTAACTACACTTTTCAGTCACTTACTTTTCTGAAATAAAATTGTCTAGCTATAAACATTCCACTGAAACTACAATCTACTCTCTTATGTGTATAAACAAAGCACAATAAAGAGGGGGCATAAGGGAACAATCACATACGACCTTCTGTGAATACACAACATAAGGAGACACAGAAAGCAGGACTAGGAATAAACACACTATCACTGTTCAAAAGAACATGTGTAGCTAAATCTGGGTTTTGATCTAGCAGAAACTGTTGTATTTCTACCTATAAATTAAAAAGGAAAGACGATTCCATTAGCAAGCGCAACATACCCACTTCAAAAGTTTATACGTTCAAGTTAAATTTGGGGGAAGGCATATATATATATATATATATATAAATTACTCATAGCCTTGTAAAACTTCTATCTCTATGTCTGAGGGCACTAGCAATGGAAGAATGTAATGGAAATTAATGAACTGAATGTTTCAATAAGAACCAACAGTAAAAAGGACAATATATTTAGTTTTAGGCAATATACAAAGTTTTAGAAACTTTCAAACACTGGACATTATTAAGTTGTTCATAGTAAAATAAAATGGCTATCATAGTAACCTGAACAAAACTCATCAAGATAATTTTATATTTCATTTAAACTGTTGCTTAAACTAAAAAACGATGCTCAATAATCTTTAATATATTTCTAAAGAAATTATTGGGGTTTGTTTAATTTTCAAAAGAAAGTTTGGCAAGCTAAAAAATCTAGAGCTCCTGTAAAGAACAGATAACCTTTGGGTGGTGTCTCAGTCAGTCAATAACAGCAGTTGGAGTTTTACACTCACTATAATGCAAGCCAGCTAACACAGCATCTGAATTAATGGTATTTACAAGTAAGTGACCTCAGGACTCTTCTTTTTTCAAATAATACATATTGACATTCATGTAATTGGGTCGGGGGTCCTCCTTTTGGAAAACGTTATGGTTGGCAAAAGGGAAGCAATGATTTTTCAAACAACATGGGTACATAGTAGGGGTACACTCTTGTGACCACAGCTGCATGTTGTTGTGTACCACTGGGTTAGAACTGATCCACAGCTGTCTAGAGGACAAAGTTAAATTGAAAGGGGACAGAAATGAAACCAAACAGAGAAATAGTAAAAAACTGAAAGCTAGATCAACAGAAAATGAAACAAAGGAAAAGGATTAAAATTTTTTTTTTTTTAAACGTGATCCTAAATTCCTGACAAAGATTAGGAAAGCAGCTTCTATTCCTACAAATACTTTTATGTAAATATTGCAAGATTACAAGTTAAATCAGGAAATTAAAAGGTGTTTCAGTTTTTAAATTGGTTTCTTTCCACTGATTCAGGGTTCAAAACTGTCAATACAAAAATAAAAAATATTTGCTGCATTTACTTCTTTAATGGTGAAATTATCATAAAATGTACTTGAAATTCATAGACATACTGAAGGAATTAAAGATAATGGTAGCACTCTAAGGAGAGAAATGATAAAAAATAATGGAGTAAGAGTTAAGGTGCTACTGTGGGAAGGTAAAAAGAAAGTCTAGGGGAAAATACTTAAGAGTTCAATCAGAAGACACATTAAAGGGTTAAAGTTGGTCATAAGCATTTAAAGCGGTCAAAACAGGGAGTATTTACTACAAGATGAGACAGGTCAGCAAAAAACATGGCTCCGATTCCGCCTCCAACTTGAGATTGGAGGCGGATCATGTCAGCACATGAGTGTGGTGGTTTGTGCATTACTAATGCTTTATTTTCAAATAAAACCTAAAATATTTGCCAAAACAGCTTTTGATTATACTATTTTCCAATAGTTTTTAATAGTTAAATTAAATTCCTACTAGAATATTATGTTGAAAATTTTCAATGTGAGAAAAAAACATATATTTTTTTTTAAATTTTATTTTATCATTCTGTGTGTATGTGTACTGTCAAATAGGATCTGACTGGTACAGGAGGAGATTGCCCCTCCTTCTCCAGCAAAGCATCTGGTGTATTCAAACTGCCTATCTCTGGGATATACAGTGCACTTCTTGCTACTAGGCCACCAGAGCGTCCCTGAGAAAAATATTTTTTAAAAATTCTTCACGACCCTTGTATAAGCTGTATCCATAGTAATTAATAAACTGTATGTGGAATTTTAAATAAAACCATATTCTAGAAATCATTACTTCCCCCCCCAGCCTTCAATACTTCATTATGGTTCTTTAAAGTTAAAGATATTTTCCTACAAATCATAACACTTTTATCGTATCTAATAAAAACATGACTGATTCCTCAGTCACTATATTTTAACAAGAAGTCAAAAAATATGCTAATTTAAAGTATAAGGCTGGTGGCCTAATGCTAAGGAACCAACCTAAAGGAATTCAGTTCAAATCTCCCAGCTGCTCTGAAGGAGCTCCTCCCGTGTGATTTATAGTCTCTCAACAGATGCTGGAGAGTCAGCTATGAGTTGACTCAACAGCTCATAACAACAGCACTGTTAATTCTATTGGGCTTAGGATCCAGTCTGTTACAAAGATTTCAGTGTTTACCTTTATTTCTCTTCCTCTGGCAGGCATTCCTGAGCTCTCTCTGGAATTTAGCTTCCAAAGGCAAGAGTGATAAAGACTTCTCAGTGATGAGATGGTCTTCATTCTCATACCACAACTTAAAAACAAAATTTTATCAGTAAATGGTAAATACAGTGACCTTTTCAGTATAAAACTAGGCTTATTTATATCCAAAAGTTATACCGAGAACGAAGTCTTTTCGAAAACCAAATTACCTCTGGCACATCAAATGGAACCTCCTGATTATTGTTTTTAAGAATTTCCGCTAATAATCTTAATGTCTTCTCACGAGGAATAATATTTTCTTCTTGCATTTTATTCCAGACAGTGTCAGCTCTCTGCCAGTCACCATTCATTTCTGTAAAATGTGATTGGGTAGACATTAATGAATATACTAAATAGAATCCATGGGAATATTTACATTTTCCTAGTTGATATTGAAAAAAACATGATTTTAAACGGTGTCTCCAGAGAAAAGAACAGTGTAATGTAACCAAGAGGTGAGGAGTCTCTTTCGATGTATTTTTTTTTCCTCATATCTGTTAAATTTACCAATTTAAAATCAAAATAACCCTGGAGGACATTATCCTGAGTGAAATATCTCAGTCACAAAAGGACAAATACCACATAGTACCACTGTTGTAGAACAGGACTGACATCAGGGTTGGGGTGAGACTGGGAAAGATTGAATAAATTATGTATACAGCATTGAAACAGATGAGGGAGACAAATGTTTGAAAGTGATATATGATTGAGTATTATGGTCATGACAAGAGTCCAGAATGAAGGTTGTATAGTGGAGAATACTGGGGAGGGGCAGGGGGGCCAGGGAGGGACTGTACACCAATGAAATAATTTTAATTTTCAAAGAGAAGAGCAATCTGGTGGGAGGGGGTTGGGCAGAAAGAAAAATGCAACAATGAATGAATGAAAATCTAAAGTCTCTGTAAAGTTCATTAAAAAAAATTTAAGTGAAAAAAAAACCCACACAAACCCAACGCAAAATAAACAGTGAAAAAAAAAATCATAAAAACAATTTTCTGCTAGGATAATCAACTTCAAAAATCAAGTAGCAGAAATTATAATAAAGAAACTGAGAAACAGCCACTGTATAAATAAAAATCAGAAATATAACAGTTAATTCAAAGATTAATTTTAATCTTTGCATAAACAATGGAAACATTTATATTATAGTCCGGTAAGAGTCTAAAATGATTCAAAGTATACATAGGGTTGCTATACGTTGCAGGTGACTAAATGGCACATAACATACTATGACAGGTTTGGAAGCAGGAGTGGCATCCACTTCCTAAACCCTATGAACTCTGGTAAATATCAACAGTTGTAGTGGGGCTGCAGGCCTTTTGTTCATAGGGTCGCTATGAGTCGTGCTCGACTCAAAGACAATCAACAATAACAACAACAACAGCATGTGTAGGTGGCATTATAAAAAACTGAATAGGAAGAAAGATCAAGTTACTTAATGAATGAATTAAGAATCTTGGCTGAGATAAAAATCAGAAGATATGAAAAATGCCAAATGACATTAAGTTCAATATAATTTTTGTGTAGTACACATCTCTAGAAAGTTTATTTATAAACATTCCAGAAAATAGGAATAAATGTATTCCTAAGCATTTGAGTGTAAGTTACCAAAACAAATCCCCCCCCCCCCCGATAAAACTATATACTAATGGCTCCTGGGAGTACAAAAATGAAAACCCAAGATGTATCCTCCATCAGAAATGTTCTACTGAGAAAGAAAAAGGTAAATGAGTAGAAACTTCCTATGTCATAAAAGGACTGCAGCGGAAAGCCTGGCACAAAAGATATTGAAAGGGGGCCCAAATAACAGAAATGAGCCTAAAATTGAGTCATTATAAAAACCCTGATAATAAATACATCAATCCGACTAATAAAAAAATCCCTTAATATGTAATCGAAACTGTCAACTAATTAGGTTTTTCTTGAATGAAAACGTTTTTGTGTAGGTAAAATAAAATTTCAATGGCTCAAACCTATTCTTAAGATGATCATGGAATTGTTTGAAGATAAAATCTTTGTCCTCGTGGACTTTTCATTTTCTTTGGCCTGAATTTGGACTTGCATATGAGAAGAGTAATTGATGATCTGACCCAGTCTGCCTCTAGCCTAGTTTAGACTGCTGACAATGAGCTTCTCCAACAATTTCAACAAATGTAGTCAATCTGATTCCTGCGTGAGATCCACATGTAAAGTCGTTGTTTGTGTCTTTTTAAAAAGGACAATATAAAATTCGATCATTTTATTTCCAGCGTCATTTCTATCATCAAGCCTGTACTTTGTAACTACTCTACCTTCTTCACTGTTTGCTACTTTTGCATCCCAGTCACTAATTAATGCATCTTGATTGTGTGTTTGGTCTACTTTGCACTGCAAAATTTGGTAAAAATTCTCAATTTCTTCCTCTTTGGCTCTAGATTTAAGAGAGTATATCTGAGTAATAGTTGTGTTAATGGGTCTTCCTTGTATGTGTACGTATATTGTCCTATCATCACTCACAACATCTGTATGCTGAGCAAATTACCTGGGAAGCTGGAAACGATAAGGAGGAGTGTGGCATCAGGACTGGAGGGAGACTCATCAATAACCTGCGTTGTGCAGATGACACAACCTTGTTTGCGAAAAGTAAGTAAGGAGGACTTGAGGCACTAGTTACAGAAGATCAGGGAATGCAGCCTTCTGTATGAACTGCATTCCAATGTCAAGAAAACAAAGAAAAGAAAGCAAATAACTGAAAAGATAATGGTTTGGATCAGGTGTACCTTAGTTTTCAGACGGATATCATTGCTTTCAAGTACTCTGGAGAGGTCCCTAACAGCAAACCTTCCCAATGCAATACATCTTTTGATTTCCTGGCTGCTGGTGACAAGGGTGTTGACTGTGCATCTAAGATTGATAATTTCCATCTATCAGATGATGCCCAGTGGTGAGAATGTTTGATTTCTTGACATTGAGATTTAACCCATATTAAAGGGAGTAGTCTTTTAAATTCTGCAGCAAACTTTTCAAATCCTCTTCCCTTTCAGCAAGCAAAGTTGTGTCATCTGCATAAAACAGGCTGTTGATGAGTCTTCCTTTGATCCTGATGCCTCAGTCTTCCTTTTAGAGCACAGCTTCTCCAACGATTGGTTCAGCATACAGATTGAATGGGGATGGAGAAAGGTAAATACATTTCCCGATATTAAACCATGTAGTATTCCCTTCCTTAGTTCATACACCAGCTTCTTGGTGTTCTGGGATTCCCACTCTCCTCAAAATCAGCCATAATTTACTATGAGCCACACAATCAAAAGCCTTTGCAGAGTCAATGAAACAAAAATAGAAAACTTTCTGGTATTATTTTAGTTAAAACCCACTGACATCAGCAGTGATATCCCTCATGCTGTGGTTTCTTCTAAATCCAGCTAGAATTTTTGACAGTTCTTGTTGATGCGCTGCTCTAGCAGTTTTTAAATATTCTTCAGCAAGATCTTACTTGCATGTGATATTAATGATCCTGTTCACAGGAACTTTTAATGATACTGTGATGATACTTTTGAAGAAAGTGATTTTTAATTAACTCACAAGTTTATATCTACTCTTTACTTAATAGCATGGTTAGATTCCACACTTATATAAAATCACTGTTATATGAGGAGGAGGAGGAGGATGATATATGGGGTAGCTCCAGAGCGTGGATTCTCAATACTGTTGTGTTCTGGATCCCAACTTCCAGCTATCGGAAACGGCATTCAGATAGATGAACGGGGAGCCTGGTGGCTGACCTAGAGCCTTACTTGGTAACTCTGGGACTTTGGCTACCAATGGGCTGGGAGTAACAACAGTTTGCAAGGGTTGCTGCTGTGACTGTGCCCTCCACAGCCCTGCTTCCCCTGTCGTCACCCTGTGGCCAGGAGGACTCAGCAGAAACAAGCAACAAGCTGCAGCACTTGGACTACAAGGGTAGGGAGCCTGGAAACAAACAGCTGCTCCCAAGAGCTCCCAGCTGCTGTAAAGGAGAAAAGGGTGAACGACAAAGGCAGGGCAAGCGAGGGGGTACGAGAAAAGCTGACTTCAGGTCCAGCCCCAGGGCTCCAGATCGGCTAGCTCCCTTCTCTGCTGCAGGACCTGATCTCTTCAGGGCACCTGAACAGTGGGAGGGAGCAGCACCAGTAGCCTCCCCTGCCCCTGTCTACTCCTGGACCCCTGTGGCTACCTGTGGCCCTCAAAGCTGTCTCGGTTTCCCCCTTCACACAAAGAGCAGCACAAGTAGTTCTTTTGGTGGAGATGAGACTAACAAGGGGTCGTCTGGGTTTCTGGCTGTGTTAGCTGAACCTGGCAGACACGAGTGGCTCTGGGCTGGGAGTTGGGACATATATTGGAACCCAGGTAAATGTTCAAAGCAGTCAGCAGGTTTTTTACTATTTTTTTAATGAGAAATATTGAATAAGAATATAAATAAGGAAGAAAAGACGGATGATCTACTCTACGTACTTAGGCTGATGCATATCCAGGAAGATAACATTCTATTTTTCATAAAAGGCTTGAATTACATAAGCAAGTTTCTTTTGGGAAGACAATCTCACCATAAAAGAGCATCTGTTAATAAATATTAGCACCTTGTAACAAGAAAATATTTCAAAAGGAAGACAAGAATTAGTATAATATTGTGTGGAGCATTTTGCGGATGTTGACTTTAGCTGAAGGACAAGTTGTCACAATATATTTTATTTTAAAATAAGAACAAGTTTCTCTTCAATAAATAATTAAGTTATCCTTTTAAGAGTAAAAAATTATATTATGAAAAAGAAAAGGTTCTAAAAATTTAGGAAGGGTAAATAGTTGTTTTAAAAGAATTATGTAATTCAGAATATAGATATTTCAATGTAATAGAAACACATTATTATATCTCATATTCACTTAAAAAGAAACAAACTTGTAGCATTTTATACATTAAGTAACAAAGTAACAATATTTAAGTAGTGGTCAAAATCAGAGGGTAAAATGTAAAGAAGACAAAGTTATCCATGTGTAGTAACCATGTTCTCCATGTTAGGTACCGTCAAGCTGAGCATAACTCATAATGATCTTACGAACAACAGACCTGAACCGTGTCCTGCTTTGTGCCTTCCTCAGTACAAAATTCCACAGGATAGGACATACAAGTTGGGTTCAAAAGTATATTGCCCTGTAAGACTTCTACTGTCTTCGAGCCTCACAAGAGACCACCAACATCTGGCAGAACTACTCAGACAACTGGCCCAAATACAGAGCAAATGAAATTAGAGGAAGACTCCAAGGGTGCCTGACCGTTAATAGGAAAGATGGCAGTTCAAGCCCACTCAAAGGCAATCTATTTAAAAAACAACAACAACGACAACGCCAAATTATTTATGCAGATATGGTTGCTAAGAGTTGGGATCATCTCAACAGCAATTATTTTTGGATTCTTCATTTTCTTGCCCAACAGAGCAGATAGAGAGAGGGGATTATGAATTTAAAGAAAAGGTATTAAAACTCAGAAACTATAAATCTATTCTTAAGGGAAATTTTAAGATGGATCTAAAAGTTTTACTTAAAAATTAAAAAAGCAAGCAGATCTTCATATGAAAAGGTTAGTGAGGCTGGCCGGCTCTCACCTTCCCTGGACGTTTCACTGCCCTTTCACATATACTGTCTGGTTCTTAATCTATTCAGGTGCTGATTAAGTCCCTTCACTAGAACACTGTCTTTATATGTGCAGCACCCAAGACAACTGCAACCAGCCTGCTCCTTAGAAGCAAGGATGGTGAAACTCCATCCCATATACTTTGAGTATATTGTCAGGAAAGGTCGGTCACTCCTTGGAAAAAGACACCAAGCTGTGAAAGGTAGAGGGTCAGAAAAGACAGGAAAACCCTGAACAAGGGAGACTGATACAGCCTCTGTAACAGTGGGCTCGAGCACCTCAGAGATCGTGATGATGGCACAGATGAGGGTCAAATTCCGATCAGTGGTTTTGGGGAGCAAAAGATGTAGTTGACTCGACAGCACTGGACAACGGCCACGATGGCCGGCAGGGTAATAACTTTCCAGGATTGTTTTTAATCCTAGCTATCAGCTCAGGAGGCCAAGTTGCAAGAAGTGCTGCAATCCTGAACGCACGCAGTTCGAATCCACCAGCTGCTCCTCAGGAGAATGGGTAATCTCCTCCTCTGCGATTAACTAACTGCTTCTGAAAGCCCACAAGAGGGTCAACTATGGGTTGGTTCTGATGTGATGATACCCAAAACAACATCAACTTAAAGAGTGTTCTGTGTAGACTCATTTGGGTACATAAATTCAAGTAATTTTTATTTCATTTGGCATAAAATTGAGATTTTTAAGAGGGATCTTGGGTGGTCTAGTGGAAAGAAGCTACACTGCAATCCCAGAGGTATGCGGTTCGAATCCACGAGCTGCTCTGCTGGAGAAGGAGGGGCAATCTCCTCCTGTACCAGTCAGATCTGATTTGATGGTACACATACAAAAAATAAAATTAAAAAAAAATTTTTTTTGCACTTATGAAGCAATGAATGTGCTAATGATGGGAGAATAGTTGATGGCAAGAGTGGCTTATGAGGATGCGGAGAACATAATTCACGGCACTCATGTGCTGTATGTTTTGTGTAAGTAAGAAATAGTTCCTTAAAATGAAGAAAGAACAGAGGGTTCAAATGCAAATACAATGTTTAAATGAAGAATTTAAGAACCAGATGCCTAAAACAAGATGCTTTTAACTTTACACATTTAACACTTTTCTAAGTGTTAAGTTTGCTACTTTAATTACCATCCAAGCCAAAGTTTCATGAATGACACTATGAAGTATGTGATTAAATGGTCTGTGTATTTTAAAGTAGGTATGTCTTATAATAAATAAAAGTTCATAAAGACAAATGAGTCAACTTACTAATTACTGTCTAGATTTGTTATACAAAAATCTGTTTGGGGGCGTCGGGGGTGGGGGGTGGGGGAGGAAGTAGTAAATCTAGATCAAAGATCTACCCAAAAGAGGAGAGACTCTGATTACTATAACATGCTCACACCTCATTCAACTACTTTAACAAGACTAGATATAAAGTCCCAACTATGTATAAACTTACTAAAACATGGTTTGATAATAGAGGTCAACGTTTGAGAAATAATAGTCACTTATACTAAGAATTCAGCATAAGGAAACAAGGGTTTGAACAAAGGTCAGTAATGCACTGTTGCATAGTCATAATATGAAAAATTGAAAGTTATTCAATCTCCACAATCTGCTTAAACTTAAAGTTCAGGTGGGGTGGGGGGAAAAAGCAAATAACTTCCTACCCTGTTTAACCTTTATCCTGCTGGCAATTGTGATTATTGTTATTACAATATTATCTCATCTCTAAAAAAGGAAAATATTTGGCAATGTATTTGTATTGGTTACACAACACAGTGCTCTGAAAAAAAGACCCATATATAAGAAAAACTGATGGGTGCTCATGGAAGTGATTAATAAATGCATGTGTAGATTTAAATAAAGAAGAGTATAGTGTCTCCAAAAAGTTCCTTTAAATTATTGATTCTGGTTAAAATTTTTTCCTCAGTTTCCCAGTACTGCAGAAACGTAAGACTGTACACTGCCTAGTGACGTAAAACAACAATATGTGTTAATCTGGTCACCTCATGACCCTCTGTTGTACAGTTAGCGTTTAACACTTTTCACGATTTTCTGACCATTGCCCTCAAAAGAATACATAAATGCCTTAAAATGAAAACGTAATAGTCAGATTACTTACGATATAGTTTTAACAGACTGTAGTATAGCTGATCTCTATCACATTCAAATAGCTTCTGTGTCATCTCCACTAATTTTTCCAGAGTTTCAACCTTTAAAAGACCATAAATAGAGCATATTTTAGAGTTGACAAATTTCAGTTGAACAATCTTTCAAACATGCTACACCCAAAGAGAAGATTACTTTTAAAAGTAAGTGCCTTATAGCAAGCTTTGTAATTAAGAATGCCAAATGAATAACTACCTCCCCGTACTACACTGAGGAAATCTACTGTCAAGGGCCTCTAAAATTCTAAAAAGCAAGGATGTCAGCTTCAAGACTAATGTGTGCCTAATCCAAATCACAGGCTTTTCAATTACTTTCTACGCATCTGAAAGCTGGACAGTAAATAAGGACAGCAGAAGAAGAACTAATGTCTCTGAGCTGTGGTGTTACAGAAGAATATTGAATATCCTATGGGCTACAAAAAAAACAAGTCTGTCTTGAAGAAATGCAATCAGGGTGCTTCTTGGAGGCAACAATGGTGAAACTCTGTCTCACATACTTTGGACCGCCAAGGGCCAGCCTTGGGAAAAGACATTATATCTGGAAAAGTCAGCAAAAGGGAGGAACTTCAATATGGACTGACACAGCGCCGGTAACAATGGGCTCAAGTGTATCAAAGATGATGAGAATAGCACAGGACAGGGCAAGGTTCAGATCACTTTTTCTAAGTCACTATGAGTTGTGGCCAACTCAATGATACCTAACCACAACAACAAATGTGGAGAAAATAGATAACTGGGGAGGAGAACAGGGTAAGGGGAAAACAATGGGCATTATCCTCTAAGAAAGAACTCCATGAAACACTAGACTTCTCTCCCCCATGGTTTTGCTGGCATGCTGAGCACAGATACTTGCACTGGAGGGGAGCTTAAGCAGACAGTCCACTGACCCCCACTAAGAAATTCCTCAGTCACTCAGAGCAGAAGCAAGTTTCCATGTAAGATCAGCTGTCAGAGATGAAATACAAACCTGGTTAGTTGAAATGCATTTATCACAAAACCACTGTAGTCTTGAAGGGCGAGCTCTGATGCCTGGTGTCTGTAAAATATAATAACCATAGTACACACAATTAGACTTTTAGCTAAATGTGAATGTTTTTCCTCAAAGATCTAATGAACTTACTACCTCCTTCCCAAACATATATTCTGAAAGAAGCCTATAACTCAGTCACTGTTATCAAAGACTTTTAATTATGATCAGAACATAAAATGCAATGTATATTTAACTTGTATCTAGAAGAAATGCAACTAGCATAACAAACCAGTACCTTCTTCAAGAGTTAATGCTTTTAAAATTTATAGTAATAAGCAAGAACATAGAAGCAGCTCAAATGCGCAGTCACAACTGAATGGACTGAGAAATGATGGAACATTATGTAGGACTCAGGAGCAAAGATTTAGAAAATTATTACTTAACTTGGGAGGGACTGGAGAGTGAACAAGCTCAGTCAGTCTCATAAAGACAAATACTGCATTAGTGCAATAAAGTAAAAACTAGTAAAATATATATGAGGATCTAATGGGGGGAGGTTGGGCAGGGGGGAATCATAAGGTCACACAACTTGGTGGGTGGAGGGAGGGGTGAGTAAAGGAAATGGGAAAGATCCTGCAGGGATCTGGAAAGACAGGTTAATGGTGGGCATAGTTCAATGATGATTAATTTTACAAAATATAATAAATAGGAATTATTGTAGGAAACACAAATATAAATGAAGGATAGCGTGAAATACAATACATACAAACTTTGTAAGGAAACAACATAAAATAAAAATGCATTAAAAAGATTATAGTGATGAAAGTATTCTATGTACCACAGATACTTGCCTAGTACCTAGAGAACTCTGCTGACCTAGTAGGTAAGGAGTTGCACTGCCAACCCAAAGCCAGGTGTTTAAAATCTGGCAATCTTCCCATGAAAATCTCAATCTCCAGTTAGGAGATGGTACTGATGATATGACAATGAGCTCATTTTAGTTTAGATAGTACTCAACGAATTATTTCAAGAATAAAGCAAACCAAGTACTGAAAAACTACTGTACAGTTTATTTCAGTAACTGAGATATATGCTACATATTTTGTCAGGAATTGGTAAGGTTTCAGCATTAATTCTCATTTCAGTATTTTTTTGAGACTGGGGAAAGAAAGAAAACCCATTTCAACATAATGTCAAGGATGTGCATCTCTAACCACAGTATTAAACACTATATTTAAATGAAAGCATTAACATAAGGAATCTATACACTCATCTCCCTAGGCTGCTACAACTAGAGGAACTGTGTCTATACTGCTCTACCCACTGAACTTTGGAGATAAAATGAGGCATTCCCTGAATATGATGTCTTATTTATGCTGCTGTCAGGTGCCATCAAGTTGATTCAGACTCATGGTGCCTCTTTACACAACAGATCAAAAGTTTGCCCAGTATTCTGTCTCTTAATTTAGAAATTTCCAGTACCATTATTTAACATTATACAATTAAAATGTAAATTCAAAAGCACATTGTAGAAACCCAATATGCATTAATATTGTTAACAATGTTAAATTAAGAGCAGAAGAAAATGAAACTCTTGTAACTTTAGTAGAATAACAAGTGGTATAGCAGCAGGAGTCCTTGTTTTGACTGTCTAACGTTTCCAGATGTATAGAGATACAATAAATAATCACTGGAATGTATGCTCAAATAACATTAACATGCACAATGGAACACACTTCCTACTAAGGATTCTCTGTTTTGTGTCATATGCATTATACTAAAAATTAAACAAACATCAATGACTATAAAAATCCTCGGAAAAAGCTGTAGCTAATCCTCTTTAGAACACAGTAAAATACAGGGGTAACATTCACTTGTGTCTTTTCATACTGTTGATCCAAATGGCACTGATGATAAACAGCACAACTTTCACGGCAAACTGCTCCTGTTTAGGGCTGGTTAATCTGCCGTCACTGGCAGGATAGTTGATTTATATGACAGATAGACCTATGTTTCATTTTGAAATTGAGAATGGTTTTCACATATGAATCTCAATCATCAAAAGAACATCTAGGTCAGATTAACTAAATCTCTTAGGCTTCTGTAACAGTCTACATTTCTGGCTTATCTCTAAACATCTTATTCAATTTTAAACAGTGGAAGTTGAAGGCAGAAAGAGAAAATGCAATAAAATTTTAATCAAAACCGTTTAACTGATGTCCATTCTGCTGTGCATATTCTCAAGAGCAATAAACAAAACTTAAAGGAAAAATAACCATTACAAACTACCCTTCTCCCATACCAGCTTTAATTGGATGGGATAAAATTTATGTAAATAAATGAATGCTTAATTGAAAGAATGAACTTAAACCTAGTCTCTTTTTGCTTTTGTTATGTAAAATATTTTAAATAGAACTTGTTATTGCTATGTGTCGTTGAGTTGCTTGTGACTCATTGCGACCCTATGTACAACAGCCCTAAACTGTGCTCTATCCTGTGTCAACCTTATTGTCTCTGACACACTTATGCCCACCACTACAGTAACTGAATCAATCCATCTCACTGAGGGTCTTCCTCTCTTGTACTGTCCCGCCGAGCCCTCCCCCAAGCACGATGTCCCCACCTTGCAACATGCCCAAAGTTTAATAGACAAAGCTTCAGAAACCTGACCTCGAAGGAACAGCCAGGTCTCACCCTCTCTAGGACAAACCTGTTTGTTCTCTTAGTAGTCCACAGTATATTCAATACTCCTCCAGTACCACAGCTCAAAGACAGCAACTCTTCTATCACCCCTAGTCATTGTCCAGCTTTCTGAAACACATAGTAAGTAACTGCAAAGACTATGATCTAGACTGACACTGTTGCTGTTCAGTACTCTGGAGAGATTCCTGACAGTAGACTCTCCCAATGCAATTTGTCTCTTAATTTCCTGACTGCTGGTACCAAGAGTGTTGACTGTAGTAGTCACTGTGTTTTTCAGCACCTGGACTTTATATTAATTATTTAATTAATAATTAACTAAATGGTGGTTTGATCTCCTACCAAAAAAAGTTGACTGTGGAGCCAAGCAAACTAAAGCTGTCAACAATCTCAATCTCTTCACCATCTATCATGATCATGATGCTGCCAATAGGCCCAGTGGTGAGAATCGTTTTCTTGATGTTGACCCTCAAAAAAAACCCCCGCAGTCTCTGACATCCAGCAAGAGCTTCGTGTCCTCTTCAGTTTCAGCAAGAAAGGCTGTATCATCTGCATAACACAGGTTGTTGATGAGTCAACCTCCAATACTGATGCCACATTTCTCCTCGTAGAGCCCAGCCTCCTAGAAGTTAGGACACATTCCTGGTGTACACACTTCCCAATTTTGAAACATGTTTCCTTGCTCTATTCTGACGACTGCCTCTTCGTCCAAGTATAGGTTTTGTATAAGGACAATTAAATGTTCTGTGATTCTCATTCTTCTCAGAGTCAGCCACAGTCTGTTGTGATCCACAGTCAACTGCCTTTCTGCAGTCAATGAAATATAAAAAACCATTCTTCTGGTCCTCTGTTTTCAGCCAAGATCCATCTGACACTGGCAATGATGTCCTTAGTGCCATGGCCTCATCTAAACCCAGCCTGCACTTCTGGTAGTCCTCTGTCAATGTACTGTTCCAATCATTTCTGGATAATCTTCAGTAAGATTTTGCTTGCACGTGATGCTGTTTGATAATTTCCACACTCTTTTTTTCCTTTTTTGGAATAGAAATAAACATGGATCTCTTCCAGTCAGCTAGGTGGGTAGCTGTCCTCAAGATTTTTTGGCACAACTTGGTGCCACAGGAAATTGTGCTGCCAACCTTATGGTGCTGTCTCCCTACTGGTTTAAATCCATTAGCCGTTCGGTCGGGGAAAGATGGGCAACCTTGTCCTGTGTGATTTATAGCCTCTGAAAACCCACTGGAGGGTCAACTATGGCAATAAGAGAAATAAACAAAAGTCATCAAGTAAGAGTTTGTTTCTTCCCTAAAGTGAGAAGATAACAAATTTACTCTAAATTCTGTTTGGTGACTCGAGAGTGACAGAACAGAAACTGCAGATCTGAACATGTTATAAGCCTGATTTAGATGATGTACATTTATTTTCGTGCCTGAATGGACATCACTGTTACTGCGGTTGTTGTATACCCTCGAGTCAGAACTGACACATAGTGGACCTATCCAGTGGGTTTGTAGAGACAGTAATCAGAGGGGAGACTGCCCATCTTTCTCCCATGGAACAGCTGGTGGATTGAAACTGTGTACCTTTGTGTTGGCAGTCCAACTCCTTATCACTAAGCCAACAACTCTCTTCCTAAAGGGAAGAGAAGAAACAAGTTTTGAAGCAAGAGTGGGTGGCTTTGTTAATTCAGATACTGAGAGTAAGAAGATCATGGAGGTTAAATCAGACTGACTTAAAATTTCATGATTACTATTAAGTGACAAGCCCCACAACCAAGCACGTGTTTTGCCCTAATTCATTCTCAATATACTCTGTGAGGTTCATGTGCAGTTGTCCATGAAATCTATCTGAGAAGCATGAAATGCTAATCTAGGTTTCAGCTTCAGGAAATGTGGTCTTAATCATCTCTGTGCCGAGAGCACCGAACTGCAGATGAAATTAAATCAGCAACTGCTTTACAGACATTTTTTGATATGGCTAATATTTCACACCATTCTTTAATGTTTGACACTTGTATGTATCATCTCTCTGTGAGTCTAACACCCTGTCTTGAATCATGGAATGAATTATTCAAAAAGTGTTGTGTTACTTTATTTGACCAACTTTCTGGGAGATGACTAAATGACTTACAACTTTCAGCTTATAGAGAAGTAACATCTCAATTTATCATTATGTAAAATGAATGCTGGACTAGAATTTAAGAGGTGTGTGTTTTAGTTCAATCTCTACAACTATGAGCCTTAAATGTGGTTATCTCAGCTATAAAAACATTGATTTTCAATTTTTATTTTTTTTTTTGCCTTGCTGCCAGGGAACTTATAAAAAGTCATAATAACCCTAAGTAAATAAGCTAAAGACTAAGATAT